AAACCAGTCTCTGATGGGTGATACTCCCCTATTTCCCTCCTTGGTGGCACAGGCATGGTACTAATGTGGGGAAACAGGGTTTTTACCTTGTTTTTACCTTTTTTGATAAGGAGTTTGTCAGTCCCTGTTTTGAAGGGCTGTGCAGGGACACTAGGTTGTCAGTTCTCTCATTGACATCATGGAGAACTGAAACTCTGCCACTTCACTTCTTAGTCTCTGAACATTCTATTTAAATTAAATTGGCCTGACATGCCTCTATCCATTTTTAAACAAGAAACAAGACAAAACAAACAAAGGCGATTGCAGTTTAGCTGAGTCTGTGAAAAGTGCTGTATTATCTTAGTGACAAAAAACCCCTATAGACTTACTGGAAGATGAAATTCTGCGTATTGTTAGGCTATAATTTAGGCACTTCAGGATTTAAAAAATTATATGGCTGAGTTATTTACAGCAGAAGAGAGGGAGTTGTGCCTACAGATTAGCTTCTTGTCATCATGTTTTTAAATCTGTAATGGGCATAATGGAGTCAGCTGTACAATGGTAATTTGCAAAGCCCCATTGATTTCAATGAAAGTGCAATGAGGATGGTTAAAGGTATTGGGAGGGCTGGTGCTTCCAAATGAAGAGAGATTAAAAAGGGCAATATTAGTAAAAGGAACAAATAGAAATGAATGGGATTAGATAGAAGGCTTGCAGTACTGAAGTCCAGGCACAGGGTAGCTGATCACTAGAGTGAAATCTGCCTGTGTTTAAACAGAAGTCAAAAGGTTTTGTGCTTCCATGTAAAGTATCTGACTTCTAAATACATGTTCTCATCTCTCAGTAGCTGCATTCCAAACTGATGTTTGCATCTACCGACTGCTTTTTAGGTCACTCATTGCTCTTATTTTTTATCAAATGAGGAGGAGTGCTGCGAACACCAGGAATGTGTGGATGGCGCCTGCTTCAGCTGGGAACAGGAGCAGTGCCAAAGAAGCAAGTGTAGCAGTGACCTGCTTCCAGTTGCTCGCAGCTTTGCCAAACCTGAACCACTGGAGCAGAAGTTCTCTGCTCCAGCTGTCTCCTTTAAGCTCAAACTTTTGGACAACTTTGGCTGAAGCGTTCCAGAGATGAAGCTGGGAAGAAACACAGGATAACCTTTTCACTGGGTACCTCAGGAAGCCATCCATGCATGCTGGTGGAGAGGCAGTTGGATACCACCAAGGAGTTCTGGATTTGTCACCCCAAGAACAAGACATGGCTAAAGGAAGTATTTGAAGCTCAGTGTGAGTCAAGAGTAGGTGAAGTCAAAAGTGTTTTCAAGGACCCTCTTGATTACTGGGCATAGAGGAGTGTAGTTCATGCAGTGAATCAGTGTCCTGCTCCCTGGTTCAAGCTCAGTGCCTGAAGCTTCCCAGCTCAGCTGATCTGGAAGGCTTCAAAGAGGCTGCTTTTGAGCTCCCAGTGATGAGTTTAACAGTAAAGTGTCACCGACGTGACCCTCGTTCCTCATCCAGTGAGCAGTAAGAGCTTGTCCTGGCCTTTCTCTGCCTTCTTAGTATCTGCACTGGCTTCTGCTGTGAGCAGTTCTGTTGGTCCTAGTGTGAACTTGGCACTGCCTTTTGCACAACATGAGCTGAACCAAGAGACTCAACGGCCCTTTTTCTTGTTTCTTTCTAATCAAACACTATCACATTAAACCGCTTCACAAAGTCCTCTCTTTATTGCTTACCAAATCCTTTCCCAGAGGAATGTCCTGTTACTCTGAAGGGAGGACTGCTGTTTTGCGGTGACATCTTTGCGGCAGTATCTCGAGACCGTTCCAACCAGGAATGGTGTTTCCTTTCACTCTTGTTGAGTATCTCCCCAGATATTACCAATGACAGCTTTCAGGAATCAGTTGTTAAGCATCATCAAGGCTTAAATCAGTGAAAAAACGATGACTTATTTACTGACAGCAGGTTCAGCATCATAAGAAGTGTGAGTATCAGCAGTGAAGACCTGGAGTTGTCAGTTCTGTGCCATTTTGCTGTCATTGTTGGTATTCAGCATTTAATTTTTATGCAGCCAGCATCTTTACTACTACTATTACAAATGGTTCTCTGAGGTTCAATGATGTTCTCATGCTCACATGAGAATGGTAAGTAGATGAAGACAGTTTCTGGTGTATGGAAAGTACTTTATGCTAATTCAATATCATGCTGGAGAAGAATTCTTACACATTTGCAGGTCTATTTTATTATTCTCCTTTAATTCCTGTCTTAAAGCTCTGTTGTGACAGGGGATTAGGCATAAATTTAACAGCAACTAGGCAGCTGGTGTGCAGAGACCTCTGCCCAGCAAGCTGACCGCTATCATCACAGTGGGTTTTTTAGCTCTTTCCTGTTTGTATGTAAACACATACTGTGCCTTGCCCTACATTGCACTTACAAGCACTCTTCAAAGTGTTTTGTGTTCGTGTGACACCTAGCATAGTGTTACTAGCAAGTGTCAGAAACTTGCGTATATGTGTAGGTATGCACATATACATGTATGTACATGTGTGTGGGGATGTGTTTAGGAAGGCTTCTCAAAATGGTCAGTAAGACATGCCACAGGAGACCCCATTTAAAAACTTCCTTTCACCACTTCAGTTTTTCTTTGTAAGGACATTTCATCCTTTCATGATAATAATGATCAAAACTTCTTATTTACAACATAAGCAGAGCTCTCTTCCATGCACTAAGGAGTCAAAAACTTGCTTTCTTACTGTAAATCATGACTTTTCTAGACCTGTGTTGTGACGTTAAGCCAAGTGAACTGTCCTGAAGCGCTAGAAACAATTTCTTTTACATGAGCTTGTCATCATTTGTTACTGTTCTCATCATCAGGGGTCCAGGAAGTTTTATGTCTGGCACTGAGCATGAAAAGGTAGCAATCCTGCCAAGGAACAAAAAGAAGCATCAAGATTCATTTCAAGGTGTTCTGTGTCTCTGCATTTTCAGGACTCAAGGCTCTGAAGCAGCTAAATAGTTACATCAGTGCTACTTCCATTGAACCACTTTTACATGACTGAGCTATAGGCTCTTTGTATAGAAGGTCTGAATCACCAAACATCTCATTTCAGGCAGCAATGTTAACAATAAAAATACTACTTCATTATCTTTGTAGATAGTCAAGTGTATCTAGATTGCCTTTAAATTCCAACTTCACTTTTGTAAATCGTGTTATGATTAAGGCACGCAACAGTGCATCCATTGAAATAATTGTATCCTCTGCTTTTAGGAAGCAGGGGGATATTTGGGGAATATATTTGTATGTAAATTGCATCTTTTGAGTTAGGAGACATATTTATTTTAAAAGAGACTCTGAATGTCCCATAAGACTGCAGGGTTTTGTGGCCATCTTTTGTATTGGATGCAGCAAACTCCACACCTCTGTGCACAGAGACAACCGCCTTGTTTGCCAAGACAATTCATTGTAAAATGAATTTGAAAGCCATTACATACCTCTGTATATATGTGAGGGGATAGAAAGGGGATAAGAAAAGTACATTTTGTCAGTCTTTCTTTCTCCGTCTTTATATACGTAAATATAGTGGGGCCTCTGGGATGACGCTTCTCTCTTATTGTGGTAAATCTATTGACTTAAATGAGATAACTTGTGTAGAGAACTGACATTCAGATCAGTGATAGAGCATTAAGGAGCTCATTTCTGTGTGGTTGAGCCTGGACATAAGTGCAGTTTTTCAATCCAAAGTGTATTTTATTGTGAACTATGTTCTTATACTTGAAAGTAATGTGAGCTCTTTATCTGACATTGACAGTCCAAATGTGGGATTTCAGTGGAAGAACATCTCAATTGCATCAGTTAGACTGACACAAGCATCAAATCCATGATCTATTCTCACATTTACTCACATCTTTCCTTTTTGGTTAGGTTTATCCAGGAAAAAAACTTGGATCCTTAGAGGTGAGCCGTACATTGCAGCAAATGGACTTATTTCCAGGGTATAGAACTGGTTCTTGTTTGTGTGTTTAAACTCATTCTGTATAGCTCCAGCTACAGGCTAAGACAGAATGTTTCCTAGCCAAAAGGAAAAGAAGAAAGAGAGGCATACCTGTGGCACTTCATTTTTCTCAAAATCACACCTTTTGGACCTGATACAAAGCCTCACAGCAGATTGCAGGCTCTTCATTGCTGTCAGATAGATTTGGGTAGCCCTTCCCTGCACTGGGGCTCCCATAATCACCCCAGCAAGCCACAGCTAGTGGGTGTGCTCATAGAGCCACAAGGAGAAGCAGTGTTTTACAGACAGGCCTGCAATCAGCTTAGTGTCTGATACTCATTCAGTTCTTCAGAGCATGTAGCAAATGATCTGGGAAAGTGTTTCTTTAGTGAATTAAATCTTAAGAGAGCATTAAGCAACCTGCAAGATAAATGCAGCACAGAAACATGGGAAGCTGACAGAAACCTACAGGGAGCTGGTTAAAATCTACTTCACTTGAGTGGCCAGAGCCTAAGAGTACATAGAGGTCAATATATCCATAATTATTATTACAATTTCTGTTTAAAATATGCCAAGTTCTTTAGGAGAAAAAAAAGAGTTTCTTTAAAAAAACCTTTTAAATTACAGCTTCAAAGCATTAACTTGTCGAGTAGCTTCCTAATTTCCCCAAGGATCTAAGAAATAGGCATTAGGATTCCTGGAGCAAGACAGAGACTTAATATTCTGGATTTTTAATATACAAGCATTTCATATATGTTATACTGAAATGGAGCAGCTAATTTAGTGTGACTTGTACTAACTAGTTACTAGAGCCCATACAGAAGTACTGGTAGCTATAGGGAGAGTATACTCTATTTTCACCTTCAGACTACCCTTCAGCATTTGGGAGAAACAAACATATTCCCATTTTGCAAGTCTCTTTGGAAGGACGTTTTGCTTGTGGAGAAGAATAACTTCTATTTCTGCATGTGGAAAGTTGTACAGGCTGTGAAGAATGCCCATCTTCTTTTTTCCACATACTTATTTTCTACAGCAGACAAATGAAGGATACTTCATGATGATGACCATGAGGAAAACATTACCAGTCCATTATGCAGCACTTCAGGTAATTAATTTTAGCATAGCAAATAAATAATTCCCCCAACAGCCTCATGAACTTTTGTGATAAGTATTATCTTTCCAAGGGTAAGTCACTGGCAGCATCAGTATTAAAAGAATGGGATGCTGAGTTCTAATTTTCTTCCTTATTTAAGCAGGGCAAGTTGGGATATGTGTGTGATAACTCTTCATAATGTCTGTCACGTCTCTCTGAGAAGTTTATCGAGCCAATGACACGTGACGTGCTAATCACATTGTGCTTGAACCCTAGTTCAAATTGACAAGGGGCAGTAAAATGAGGACTAGTGCAGTACCTTCACATCAGAGAATATTCAATGACACACAAGGATCACGTAGGGAAAAGAAATGGTGTTTATTGGAAAGACTGTTGCATGTTGAAGGGTTAAACTAAAGGCATCTCACAAAAGTAGCCTCTCTGACTTCACTGTTGTTATTTCTCATTGTTAATGGCATGAGCCAGATCAGATATTGAGTGCCATGACAAGAGATGGGTCTATTACTTGAACAGAAGCAAGTGCTGTAAGGAATGGGTGTGATGAATTTGCCGAAATTATCAGGTCCATACGGGTTTATAATCTACCAGTGGGTCACCAGCTCCTTCCATATCTAGTATATGTGAACAAGACAGCAAAAGCACGAGTTTAGTCTGAAGGAAGTAAGGGAAGAATGCAATGCCATAAAGAACTGAACAACTTGGGACATTCTGTGTCAGTCCTCATAATGACAAAGTGATCACAGAACTCAAAAGAATGACTGGTTTGGTGTAGTTCATCCTAACTTGACTTCAGGTGCCACGTGTAAGCAAAGTTTCAGCAGTAATATTATCTTGTATTTTAAAAGGGCTGCTATTAATGAAGCTGAAAAGACTTGTGAGCCAGTCATCCAGGAAGAGGAATTAAAACAGAAAGGGCAATTGTGAAAACATACAAACTTTCAGTAGGCTCCCTCAAAAGCCACCAATGCCCAGTGGAGAAGAGCTTTTCCGACGTACAAAGCAGTATTACTTAGACAAGGGAAAGCAGATGAAAAGCAATGGAAAAGGGCAATCAGTTAGTTACTGTCAACTATAGGAATTATAGAAAATGGATAAGGGAAATGAGAGGATGATGAGGAGCTTGGAACAATCAGGGATGAGGTTGTTATGAAAAGGGAAAATTTAACAGGGGCACTGATTCATCACAGCATCTAAGTGAAAAAAAAATCATGTATATAGGATAAATAGGATATATAGAATATATAGAATAAAAAGTCTGATGTTTCCCATAAATATTATTGTTCTTTGGCATCTCCTTTTTAGCAGGAGAACATCCATGCAGTCAGATCAAGCAGTATTAATGAAATACTTCCCATTCCAGCCATAATTCAAGAGTATATTCATCAGGGGTTTCTCAGTGTGGAATGGCACAATATAATGTGTAACTCTGGCTTTGCTATGGATGATCACGTGGATGTGAGCTCTGAGGAGCCAAAAGGGCTAATGAGATTCTTGAATGAATGGGAAAGGAAATTTCAAGGGAATGAGAGAGTTTCTGCTACCTCTGGTTTTGGTGGCAGTGACTGCTGCTGGAGTGCTCCTTGCATGCAGTTCTCCTCTCCATAATTCAAGAGGATGCTGACAACTGGAGAGTGTTCAGAAAAGAATGATAAGAATGATTAAAGTATTAGAAATAACGCCTCAGCAAGGGGAGAGACGGGGACTCAAGGAGCTTGTCCTTGTACGTACACTCTTTCTGGCTCCTCAGAGCACCCTCCTTCTCATCTTGTACTCGATAGTGGAATTACAGGAGGTCACAATAACACTGTTCCACCACAGTATTGCCTTGGCTTGGCATTGAGGAGGGGAACACCTGCTGTTTCTCTGCTATGAAGGTCAATGCAATCCTTGCCTTTAGAGCTTCCCTCCTTATCGTGAGCAAATGTCAAAATGAACCCAGTTAAGACCAAATCACTCCTGTGTTTTCTCTTGAGGCAGTTAATTTTTGGGGTTGAATGTACTGAGCTACCTAGGAAACAGTGGTTGCTGTCCTTGTGATGAGTTATCTGGGTGGCTACAGGCCCAGCACCTCAACATCACAGCGTGTTGGACTTGGGTTAATTTGCACCATGTTACGTTTAGTTCCCAGTGTAAAGACATTGTTCATTGGGCATTTAATTTGCAATGGTTTGTCTGAAAGGACATTGTTCCCAAGGCCAGTGTTTCATGTAAATGCTCAATGACTTTTAGCAAAATAAGAAAAAGAAGAAAATAATTATGGCTGTGTTATTATGGGTAATTTAAATGTCGGCCTTAGTGGAGTACAATGTAATAGAACTTCTCAAGGTAAAACGTGTCCTGATTAAAAGGCATTATGAACTCTCCATCTGCTTTTTTAAAGAACACTGAATAAACCCCCCATACAGTGTGGTGCTTTGGTGATCTTGCACCATTTCTATGAAAAGCTTCAGTTAAATGCTTGTCCTAATGGGAAGCTCAAAGTTTTATCTTTACAGATGGTGCAAAAACAAAGGATAGGTTTTTCCAGTGTCCTTGTTTTGGGGTGGTTTGGGCTAGTCTATGATTCTCTAGTTTGTTCCTATCTATTCCTGTACAATCAGATATGAAATGAGAAAGAAAGAAGGTAAGGCTGTACAAGTTACTCATCTGAAAGGTTAAAGGCTGATACTATAGTGAAATTCATACCATTGTGGAGAAAATATTTAAGATGCTAATTGGAAGTTCATATCGATTATTATTCTTTGAAAATATGGGAACATTTCAAGAATATGGCTATCATAGTTATCACTAGTCCGAAGTATCTTTTGATGCAGTTTATCTTTCCATGACAATGGATTTCAGATCATTTCATTACTTCCAATTTCAAGAAGTATCCTTGGGACCCATCCGTTTCCAAACTGTGCCATACAGAAATGTATATATAACATTAGTTACTGCAGGAAAAATACCAGCTCTTTTCAAGCATTTTAAAAGACTTTGTTATTAAATCAGTTACAAGCTACAAAATACCACAAGAAAGAAAAGAAAAGATATTATTATTGATTCAGTGGCTGATGACAGCAACTGAGATTCTGAGGAATGGATTTGCACAAAACTGATTCCTTAACTGCTGTTTCAGTAACGGGGAATGCTGGATTCTGAGAAAACATGGAAAAGCATAGGGAATTGCCATGTAAATTACACAAAATATTCTGCTGAAGTATGTCTCACAGACTAAACAGTCATTACTGTAAGAATGGAGAAGCAATCCCATCAGTTAAGTGTTTTGCAATTGTTCTACTTGTATTTTCCATCCCCAGCTTTAACCAGGCTGAGGGACTCCTGCTACAGGAGGGGAGAGAGCACCAAAATGCACTGAAGGAAGCAGCATGAAGAGGGAAAAGTGTCAGTAAGGACTGCAGACAAATATGTGAGTTCAGCTTCTTGCTCTCAGGAAGAGCATCACATTTAGCTCTTAACGAGAGCATCACCTAGATTTTAATTTAGAAACAATCGTTTTCTTTAAAAAATGTCACATACGTGGTATTTATGCTATTTTTAAACCATTCTTTTCATTTGGGGGGGGGGGGGAAGGGAAGAGGCTTGTTTCCAGGATAAAGGCATAGCTCAATATTTAATTTCTGGTTTTATTTTGATGCATATTTTAATACTCTGATCATAGATCTGAGAAAAGAAATCATATTATGTATGCATGTAAGTCTCTTGCACCCTCTGATATGCATGTCTGGCAAGCCCTTGAATTTTCAATAGTCTCACACATTCTATTGCAAGTTCCTGTTCTGGAGTCTTGGAAGTGTTAAAGCTGACTTAGTTGCTGTCATTTTGTCCACCTTATCCTACTGCTCTCTAAATGGCACCTTCCTTTCTGTGTTTCATGGCAAGAATAATCTCCCAATTCAGAACTGAACCCAACAGGCATCAGAATCTGTCAGCTCCCTGATCCCAACCTGTTGAACAGCCTAACCCTTCTCTAAGACTGGCCTAAGTCCTGCAGCACCTGTGCTGGTTTATCTGCTGGTCTAAAGCTTAAATATGGACAGCTTTGATGCTGTCTGCAGCACAAAATATGCAGTGTAGCTCTCTGGTTCTCCTCAAAGGGCACTGCATGCTGCTTAGAGGGAAAAGTCCTCACTCTGCAGGATTTGCCTACTGCATGAACAGGAATTGGTCCTTGAGAAAGCAGCACAAATTGGTTTTATGGGGGATCCCTCTATTTCCTCCAGGTGCTTTGCAGGCTTGTCCTGTCCAACATTAAGAAGCCAACTAACAAGGAGAAAAACAAAAGATCCTAACTAGTAAGAGGGAGTTAAAACAGGTTGAAATGGAAACATTGTGTGGGGAAGGTTCACATTTTAGCAGCCAGGAGGTTGCTGGCGAGCTCAGCTTCCCCTGGGCTGGGAGGTGGAGGGCAGCTCCTCTGCTCTTTGGAGCAGAGACGGGAGCAGAGACATCCCCCTCTCCAGAACACACCTTTACCTCAATCCCAGCTGCGAGCCTGGAGGTGGATGAGGGTGGCAGCAAGGGCTGTGAAAGAAATTAGACAGATAAATATGAGTTTAAAGTCTCCAAATGGATCTGCAGGCATCCCGAAGAGCGCAGTAATCCTGAGTAAGCTTTGCTCTTGGCAAACATTTATTCAATGGCTGTTTAATAGCTGCTGACTGACAGCAAGGCTGTAGTGGAATCGAAGTCGCTCCCTTCCCCCCGTCCTTCCGTCAGTCTGGAGAGAGTTCCCTCTCCTGTGAACTGCGAGGGAGAAAAGATATAACTGTTCTTTCTGGAAATTCCACTTGAACCAGGGTTCAAGGATAAATATTACCGCCCCTCGGATACGTTAACTGTTCTTTAATGATGTGATCTGATATTTGAACAGTGGGCGCAGTGCAGCAGAGCTTTGGGTTTGTTGTTTAAATATCTTTGATGGTATGTCATAACAAATTAGTTTCTAAATGTTGCCAATTTGGCAGACAAAGCTGATTATTTCCTGCAAT